ATATTTTTTTTTTGTTTTTTTTTGTCCCAAAGACATATTAAATTATCCAGCACACTTTTCTTTTTATATATATATATATATATATATATATATATATATATATATTTTTTTTTTTTTTTTTTACCACATCTCTCGATAAATCTTTTAATAAATGAGTCCAATGAATTTCAGGAGTGACAAAAAACGAGGAAAACCAACAGAACTTAAAATAAACTGAGTCAGGAAGGAAGCCCTTCTATTCCCAGTGAGCTTTTTTTGTGCTTCTCCAGAAAGGTGGTTAGATGAAAACTCAGAATTTGAAGTCATAAATAATTAAACTCCTGACAGAGTAGCAAACATTTAATAAAGGTTATGTCTTTAATCCTTTAATCATGACATTGATATGTTTCTAATGCAGATAGTGTACCCCTTTTCTATGTAGAAATAGATTCTAAAAGGTAAAGGTAATTTTATTTATATAGCACATTTTCAGCAACAAGGCAGTACAAAACTACTTTACAGGATTTAAAAGGAAATACAAACAAATTAACAGACCAAAAGAAAGAGCAAAAGGAGAAAAAGCTAATATTGTTGATCCAAAGTAAATAAACTAGATACTCATATTCAGGGTTGCTAGATAAGTATCCTCTGGTCTAATTCCTTTTCTGGTTTGGAAGAACAGGAGTTTAAAAAGCAGTTCCTAAGATAGTTTTTCTGGATTCTAGAGTTAGAGTTGGTCTTTTTATTCCAGTTAAGTCATTAGGAAATTGACCTTAGTGAAACTAATAGGAAAAATATATTTTTTTCTTATTCAGCAATGTTACTCCTCTCGAGTTCAATTAAACTTAACGCAGTTCTTGATTTTCTACAGCCATTTATTTCAGACACGTTCTTTAAGGTCCTCAAAAAATGCCGTCAGAACTACAAAAAAGGTAACACAAACCTAAATCAGTTCACAACAAATGGCACAACATAACAAAAGATACATACATTACAACAAAACTGTACCTCATTAGCTGCATCAACTCCAGAGGAATAAAGTCTAATCTTCTTACAGTCTCTCCAGCCCGCATGACCCACATGGCTCCAAATGCGCCAGTCAAAGCTCTCCGGGCAACACATGCCGCGCGGAACAAAACAAAAGTTCCCCCTCTACATTCCAATGTACATCCAACATAAAACCAATAAAATTACTACTGCCACCTTCAACAAAAAAAACAACAAAATAAAAAACAAGAGGCAGTTGTCCTGACAGCAGCCACAAGCAACATATTTTTCATTGAATATGAAATATATCATAGTTTTACAACCTAAGACACATACACAGAGTTAAAAACGAAATGTCCATTAAACAAACACATTGTTAAGATAGCACTGAGAGAAAAACTCAGTTTATTTATTTATTAATTAAAAAACACAAATTCCGCTTTTACTTAGTTAACCAGCAAAGTAAACATTGTGTCAACATTTTCCTCTGCAGCATTGTTTATCTCTATGTCTGATTTTAAATGTTTTTCTCTTTTCCTTTTAAATCGCTGAGTTGTCAGATACTGTAATGTTTGGGATTTTTTTTTCCTTTCATTTTTGTTGAGTTGTTGAGCTTTCACTTCCCTGTCTACATAAAATCTTCTAGCCATTGTGATAGGTTGAGTCTTAAAAAAAATGCAGAGCCATACTTTTTTTGTCCCACATGAAACAAAGTCTAAGTCCAAGACTGAGAAAATAATGTAAATATGACACACATAATGATCAAAACATCACAAGCTGGAGTACCTCATACCACTAAGATAATGTGACTGATATCACCTGCATTTGTCTCTGCAATGACATTACAGTTTATGACATTAGAAACATTAAGATTTTTTTCTCTTCAGCTTTTTGTTCTGAGATCATTGTTTTCGTATGATCAGGACTTCAAGAATAAAATGTCATTCGTTTGGTGTATTTTGAGTATTTTTGACCGTTATTATTTATAGACCATTAATATTTTTTACTAATTCATAATTAAATTTGAATGTATTTTGAATTATAGGTTCAACCATAAATATTTAATCAAAAAAATAAATAAATAAATAAAAAATCCCTCTGATCTGTTGTTTTTATTTCCTCATGAGATCATTTGTGGTTTTCTTTCATGACCACAAACAATCAGCAATGGACGCCGACAGTGATTATTTACTTCTTCCAGAATGGCAGCAAAAGTCACATGGAAGAACCTTCCTATAAATGGGTAGACTTCAGTATGTAAGAGCGTCATCATTCTTGTCAGCGTGCCTGGAAACTCCTTCCTCTCTTGTGGTTTCTCCTGAGGAACAAAATGTGGAGGACAACATCTGACATCTTCCTTCTGCAGCTTACAGTTTCTAACCAACGCTTCATGGCAACTCTTAACTTTTCTGTGTGCAGTGCGCTCCGTGGATGGATCTTTGGCAAGTGGTCCTGTCATCTCAGGACTTTGATTACTGTGAGAGTGCAAAGTCTCTCAGTCCTCACTGTCATGACCCATCACAGTGATGTCACAGTGATGAAACGACCAAACCTCAAACTAATTAACGGTACTTCATTCCAGTATCATGGTGTGGCTGTTGAACCTTCTTTAACAAACAGGGAAGCAGAAAAGAAGAAGCATCAAACTTCCGTTTGAAATATTTCGCAAGGTTGTTTTATAAGAAAGAGGAGAGTTTTATTTTAAGATAAATAACTTCAAAGTAAGGATGTCCAGAAATCCAAGCCTGAATCAGAAAAAAGCAAAGCCATGGCCTTGTGGTTTAGAGATACAAATTCACAACATGAGTTATTAGTTTGCTTGGTTGCTTAGATTTGCTTTATTATAGTTTAGTTTATCTGGTCAAGATAGGGCCTTATTATAAGAAGCAATGTTTCTTCCTTCTTTAAACTTTATTTCTGAAAACTTTTCTGTAAAAATAAAAGAAAGCTCATTTGTCTTGTAAGACTACAATTGGAAAAAAGTAGTACAAATAGTTCAAATAATGATTTAGATAAAACGAATTTTACTCAAACAAGATGAGACTTGGCTGATTTTGATTACCAGACTGTCGCAACGCATTGTGCAAATAAAACTTTATGTGCTGATTGGTTGAGTTGTTGAGTCATTGAGATTTGAAAGACATTTTATATGACACAAGTTATTACAATGGATAGATAAAAGGGGACATGATTGATTGGTCAATGGTTAGCTGCAAAAAATGTGTTGGATTTATAATTTGTTTTAGCTTAACTTGTGCCATTCTCATCTTATTTTCATGTGGTATGTTTAAGGATTTTAATACAGGCAAATCTGAGGGTTAAAATATGAGAAGTTAACTACAAGTAAAAAGGAATGTGAGAAAAACTATATTTAAATACCTATTAATTAGGATTTTATAACAAGCTATATGAGAGAAACAAGCCTCCAGGGTGAAAAAAAATATATTTTCAAATAGAAAAAGTGAAATTCAATTCCCATTTATTTTTGTTTTGAAACACCATAAGGGGTCAGAATGAATCAGCAGTAACATCTGACCTAATCTGAAACAGAAAGAGAGAAGTTTGACTTCTGATTTTTGCTTTTCCTTTGAAGTGCAGTTCAAAGCAACAGCTGGAAGTGTCTGCTGTCTGGGGTAAGTTGTTTAACACCGTTTTGTATTTGATGAAGAATTGTGTGGTTTTTTTTTTTTGGTTTTTTTTTTCAGAAAGATTTAACAAAAGACGCAGCAAAAAAACCCAAAAGGCTATGATGAGACAATATGCTCTGTTTTTATTATAAATTGACAAGCCCTAAATGTATGCTCATATTCCTTAGATATTCAGCAATGGACTACGACTACAACAGCACAGATGAAGATGAGTACATAGTTCAATTTCCTTGTCAGGATTTGGACTTTTCAACCATTACTGGAGCCGTGTTCATCATAATCTTCATCGTCAGCGTCATCGGCAATGGCCTCCTCTTATGCATTCTCTTTACTTTTGAACAATTCTACCTTGTCACAAAAATCTTCATCATAAATCTTGCTTGTTCTGATTTGATCTTCGCTGCCTCAGTCCCCTTCTGGGCTGCCTACCACCTCCATCACTGGATCCTGGGGGACTTTCTGTGCAAATTCTTCATTTGGGTGCACTTCTCTGGTCTGTACAGTAGCATCTTTGTACTAACGGCAATGACAGTGGATCGTTTTTGTACTGTGGTGCTGAACATCTGGCCAAACAACAATCAGAGGAAGAAACGCTGTGCCATCGGTGCCTGTGTGGTTATCTGGGTGATCAGTATCGGTATAGCTGTGTATGATGCTTTCAAAATGGAGGTTTCTGATGATTACTACTGCGAAGTGTCTTATTCTGATGAACTTGGATATTATTTCCAAATTCCTCTGCTTCTTTTCGTCCCAATCGCCATCATTATTTTCTGCAATTGTGCCATTATATATGCTATTTTACGGTCAGCAAACAGAACAAGGCACAAAGCTCTAAGTATAGTCTTTTGCATTGTTGTGGCCTACATCATCTGCTGGGGACCCTACAACATTGTACTTCTCATTAAGGACTGGTACAGACCCAGAGACTGTGAAGAAATGGAGCGGTTGGATGTTGTCTACCATATCTGTCGAATGCTTGCCTTCTCCCATTGCTGTATGAATCCTCTGCTTTGTATGCTCACACAAAAGTTTCGAAGTCACCTGTTTTATCTTTTACGCCACAGAGTCCGTATCAACAGAGAAAGAGCCACTGACCAGGACATGGTTCATGTTCAGAATGCCAGTCCAGCTCGCATTCTGGATTGGCATCACAATAGATAACAATAGGTAATCCAAATATATCAGCTTGAATAAGAGGAACTCTTTTTTTAAATTTATACGTGCACAAGTTTACACAAATTATATTTATGTGGTGCATCTGAAAATCAGGACTAATTATGATACACACATACAGAAAGAATGGATATTTTTTCCACACTGATTGGATTGACTCACCACGTTGAAGTGTAATGTTTCAAGCATTTTTAAATTTTATTTTTTTGGCACCAAATCTTTTTTTGCATGTTGGGTCTGTGGATCATACATTTTTATTTATTTTTATTTTTTTTATTTATTTTTTTTTTCAAAATAACAAAATTCATTGTGATGATTATGTTAGTCACTTTTGTACGTTCAACTTTGTTATTTTCTTCTTTTTGATTTGCGTTTTACAAGTGATCAGGACTACATGATGTAAATGCAGTGCTGTCAGGGCAATACCAAGCACCACTCTAATGTTGAGGAATAATAAATTTAAAAAAATAGTTTTATATTTTTTTTACTTTTTTTCTGTAGGATTTTCAATCATTTTAAGCTGCTGTTTAATTGAGTTATGTTAAATTTTGCTATTAGTGATTGAGCTTAGTCTGTTTGTTTAGCCCATTTTATGGTTTTGTGTTTTTGAGTACATAAAACATTTTTGCTTGGAAAAAAAAGCATCTTGTCAACATGTCTGCCAAATTTCCTCAAAAACAGGAAGAACTGTTCTTCTTTGTAGTGTTTCTTGAGTAAGTGGGAACAGGCTCACAGAAAACTGGGATTAAAAAGTCTTTAATGACGACTTCCACAAACCTTTTCTCCCATATATTAAGAATACATGCATATTTGGATGACTTCTTATGTGCTATGCTTACAATAAGTGATATCTGAATTATGTTTCAAAGTGTCTTTTGTGTGTGTAATCAAATTTGTATCTATTTTACAGTAAAAACGCAACAACAGCAACAAAAACACCCATCAAAGTTTTTGGAATTGGTTAAATTCTGGACGTTTTTTTAATCGTGATAGTGGATTATTTGCAATCATAATTAAAAAAAACTAAAGCGTAAATATATGAAACTTTTTTTCTTTGTTCCTGCCACCAAAAAGGTCAAATAAATCAAATGGCTTCTCTTTTGAAGAAGTTTGCAGTGATGTATAACAAAAAGGGGATTAAATTGAATTTATTTTATTTTATTTAAACAAAATATGAAGTGAAAATCAACAGTTTTCTATGTTCAGTAATTTTGGTTTTAAATTCCTCCTGATGAATTTGTTTTTATTTTGCCTATTTTATGAAGCTGTCAGACACATGTTCCTTATTTATTACACACAGCAGGCTATAGCTTCTTTGAAATATATTTTTTGTAACTACGTAAGCTGACAATGAGGGAAGTAGAACTCACAAATTAAGTAAGCCGATTGTGAAAGTTTTGCAAGACCTTTTTATAAGAAGAAGGAAGATTCGAGAGGAAAGTTTTATATTGCAAGAGAAACTAACGTTTTCTCACATGATGAACAAATTAAATTATTCATCACTTCCTCTTGGCGAATGTTTTAGTCATTTCTTCAATACTGTGGTGAATAAATTAACCCACACGGGGGCAACAAAAAGGGATGAAAGGGACTTCTAGTAAAGGACTGTGATCATAATTTATTTTCACAGTGTTAAATTACATGACTTTTGATCAGTCATCTCAGAGTTTCAGAGCTGTATTATGAGACACACATCCTGATGTTGTGCAATGCATAGAAATTGTACTTTAAAAAGCATGATGTTGTCGCTGCCATATTTCACTGTGTAAGCAGAAATCTTTTGGTTGATGCCCAATGGAGCTAGATTTAAGAACTGCAACCCAAATTCTGCACATTTGGGCTGATCAATGACCATGAAAGCCAAATCTGGATTTTTCTTACGAAGACAGATTTCTGTCTTTCGACTTCTGTCAATCCTGCTCCTTAGTTTAATTAGACACAGTGAATTTCTGTCATTATGTTAATTCATTGGCAACCTCCTCCAGCCAGTTTCTGAAATGTGTTTTTCAATGATTTCTGACAAATGTCCTCTTTTTTGACTTTGATGCTGCTGTTGTCACGCACTGTTTACAGTTATTGATTGTGATTTTATGTATTAATAATAATAATGGAACTTTTTGCACCTGTGTCTGATAACTTTGTACCTTAGCAGAAAGTGAATCAGATTCAGTGTAAACTCAGGAAGACTGAATGCTGAAAAGTGGTTTGAAGGTGCCATAGCCAAGTATTAATTAAAGGTTGTCTGCCTTTATGCAAATTGATTATTGCAGGATTTTATTGTTTAAACATTCCCCACCAACAAATTTGCTTGTTTCTTATTTTAACTGTTTAAAATATATATCATTATCATAATGGTCTCAGTACAACGACAATAATAATGCTACTAAAAAAAGTCCCTAAAATCTACCTTTTGACAAATTGTAGACTACCCTGTGCAGCTCTATTTCTGTGTCAGAAACAATCTTTTTTACCATTGGATATCATCTGTTCGGGCCTCTTTTTTTTTTTTTTTTTACATTTGTACAAAGTTAGTTGTAATTCTACAACTTCTTATCTTCTTGTCATTTCTTGTCAGAAAGTCTACAACAGAACAATATTGCTATTGTTCTGCTGTAGTATCATTTTCTTTTGTATTTCTCTGGGAAAATGATCCTCTACAATGCATTTCTCTGGAGTCCTGTCAGTATACTCAAACTTGGCCCCGATGGCTCAACGTCTGGGGGCGGGTGGGTCCGGAGAGGAGAGCTCAGGGACAGCTCAGTGGGTCTCTGTAACAGCAGCCACATCTCTGGGGCTAGATTAAGCTTAATTAACTAAACCATCCAGCATGCTTGAATGAATGGATAGAAGTCAAGGGCAGAGCAGTCACAGGAGTGCTCGCACATTCTCTGGCAAGAAAGAGCTTTGTGTTGGATTTTAACTGGATGTGTAAAATTTGACACTCTAGCTGTTCAAAGCCATGTTTAAGGCCAAGTACAATAAAGAGGCTTGTTCTGCCTTAGCTGCATTGATCGATGAACGACTGAAAGCATCACTTCGAGGTTTTTCTGTATTGGAAAAAGTGTTCATGCATTAGTTTTTCACATTATGCAGAGCTATTTTATTTAATGAGATCTAATGTAGCAGACCAAGTCACAAAAGTGCATGTACTGTATAGAGTGATTGTTAGAGGGGTTGTTAATACTTACATTTTAAAGGTACATTACATTTAAATATTTAAAAAAAAGGAACTGATTTAACTGGTTAAACTCCATAACATCAGAGATCAGAGAGAACGAGTCAAACTTGAAATGTACACAGAGATCCTGCAGAGATCCTGCTTGCAGACAATTTCAAACCATCCCACTTCTTTTGAGCCAGTGCATTCTTAACTCCGAGTTCATTTTCTCAGCAAATGATGATGTTGTTCACTCGTCTTTTTAGCCACAAGCAAAACAGCTGTTGTTGTTTTCTTATGTAGTCGGTGCTACTAGCCTTCCATGCCCTTAAAATTCCTGCCATTCCCTTGTTTTCTCCCAGGCAAGTCGCACATCGATATCTCCCCCTTTAATTTCAGTTATCTGTAACGATAATTACTCTGACCATATGTGAATTTAATTGATGCCTTTCCAATGTGTGAAATGTGTGTGCGTAACTCTGTTCATGTCGCTAATAAAGTCTTATTGCTTGTTAATCTGGACTGTCAGGAAAACGCATGCAAATCGATCAAGTGTGCCAGTTCTATCCTTTCCAACAACTGTTTTGTTCAATAAATATTGACAACTTAATCCTCATGCGGCAAATGCTGACATGTATGTCGTTTCATTAATGCAACAAATGCTGATATTTTCATCCAAGTTTGTTATGGGACATTTAAAACAAAAACAAACAAAATAGAGAAGAAACACAAATTAATCACAAACATAAATGCGAAAAAAAAAAACACTGAAAAAATACAAAATTTTGCTCAAACATGATCTTAATACAAAATCATATTTAAAAACTTTAAAAAAGGAACTTGATTTAACAATATCAATACTGCTCTCTTCCACTAGAGGGCATCTTAGACTGGACTAAAGCATTTCTTGGATTTTGATATCACAGTTCCGTCTTATTGCACATACTCTAACAAAGCTGACAAGAAGTTATTGGTCCATACACATATATGTTCTCTGGTGTGAATTTTATGAACACGTTTTTGGGCTCCTGGTGCGTTTTAGACACAAACCATGAAGAACAACTGCAACCTGTCTCTGATATATCTTAGGGTCATCCTCCCCTTTTTACCTGCTGTTGTCAGATAGGGAAAAAAAAGCACAGTGATTAACTACCGTGGAGACTTAATTAAGAAATCAAACATCTGGATATTCAGACTGAGCTTTGCTGCATCAGTTAAAAAGTAGCCATTTGATGTATCAAACAGTGCGGCCTGATGTTTCGCTTAAATTTTTCCCATCTGGCTTGTTTTCTCGCTAAACTTTATCCAGAATTTTTTTTTTTTTTAGGTCTGTACCATTCTTCTATCCATAAGTATTTCATTCCAGTTCTTTTCCTTAAAAAATGTATTAATTTATGCAAAATAAGGTCTAAATCTTGAGGCTTAGAGAGTCTTAAAGTTTTACGAAATTACCTTACATTTTGTCAAGGTTTTAATTTGACAAATGAGCCTCATCTGAATATATATGTTCTTGATAAATTTAATGTAATTTTGTAATGATAACTGGTTCAGCTTTCATGACAATACTGAGTTTTGATTGCACTGAAGCAATTATCAATTAAAATGACTGGATAATATTGTGGCTTGTTAATAATTTATTGAATTACTGTACAAGTTTCCTAAGCTCAGAAAATTACACCGACTGAAATGAATAAATGAAAGAAGGTAAATATTTACTGACCTCTTCAATGTTTTCCATGTTTAAAATGAAGTCATTTCAGATTAGGTCAAGTATTTTCTTCTCTGTTAAGATAAGAAAATACTTGATAAATACTTGATATACTAAGGATCAGAGATCATAAGATGGTGTCCAGTTTCATTGACTAAAACTATTTGCTTTAAATGTTAAAACTGTAAATTGAAAATCACTGGTGCTCTTTATGTTCAGTCTGGTTCTGGATCAGAATCTGCACAGACTGATTGCGTTTCTTGTTTTTGTGGTTTGTGTTAACACATTGATAACAGTTCTTTAAAATACTGTAAACTTTAAAATGCAAGTCAACACTGATCATATCTCATGTTTCCTTCCACTGGCACACATTCAGTGTGTGTTGTTGCATCCAGCTTGTGTTAAACCTTCAGCGGCCAGGTGAATATTGCCCTCCAGGACTGGTCTTCTGCCATTCCCAGCACACACTCAGTGTTACTAACTGGGTGAA